GTAGAGAGAGAGAGAGGGGGGACTTGGTATAATTTGAGGAAGGGGAGGGTGGGTTTTATAGTTTTTGGGGGGGGGGGGAAAGGGTTTGAAGTTTGAAAGTTTTTTTGAAAATTTGAAAATTTGGAGGGAGAGAGAGGTTTTGGAATGCGAGGGAAAGAAACGCTTGCGAGGGACGCTTGGGGATGGAAATTATTTATTTACGGTGGACCGTCGCGTCTTCCGTTGTAGGAGACTTTCTGCAATTACCAAAATACCCCGTTCAAAATTCGAAGTTTCAAACTACATATGATGCCCGCCAAAAAATAAAGCAAGCCAGTTTCAAATTTTAATGATCCTTTGATAGGGAATTTATTTGGCAATTGACATGATTGATGATAAAGTGAAGCATTTTTTTTTTCTCTTTTTTTTGTGATCAAATTGGAACTCTCTTTCTTTTCTTTTTTTTTTTCTCTCTTGCATTTGTTGTACTGGCTTTTTCTTTATCCTTCCAAAAAAAACAAAAAAATAGTGTAAGCAAAAATTGAATTTTCCATATAATTGGTTTAGTGGAAACCAATCTAATTGTCAGTTGGATCAGTGGGATAAATTATTCACCCACAAATTTGTGTTGGATTGTTAGATTGGCATCTAGATCAGGTTTGCATTCGTCTAAAACAGCAATCCAATAAATATTTAAACTAAATAAAATATAATAGTAATAAAAGCAGGGGTTTTGAGGGTGGGATTAAATAGGACATAGAACAACATTAGAAAACTAAAAAAATAAAAAATAATTATTTATATATATATATCTATATAAAGAGTTTTAAGGGGAACCAAGGCGGCCACCAATACTATGCTATAACTGATTCGGTCATGATCGAGTCCCATTCAAATTAACAATCCGGATTGAAAATAGTTTAAAAAGCAGTGGTTCTTACTAGCTTGTTTTTATTAACTTGTTAATAATATTAGGAGAACTAAACGTTCAAAAACATTGGTAGAACCTTTTTCCATCCATTGAAATCTTATTATAAGACATGGGGCCTTCCGGGCCTTAGTCACAAAAACAAGGGCAGTATTTGGAAGAGGGATTGGTGAGTTCAAACTTGAAATTATTTTATTCATAAAATTTGAATTTTTGAAGAGGTGTGCAATTACTGAATATGACACTCAATAAATATGAGATGTTTGGTCACATTTATATAACAATGAATCTTGCGAGGGAAGCCAACAAGTGGGTTGTGAAAGTTTGGGAAGTTTCGTAATCAAGATTTAGAGAGAGAGGGGAGGAAGAGAGAGAAAGAGAATGAGAGAGAGAGGGGAGGAAGAGAGAGAAAGAGGAAGAGCAAGAGAGAGAAAGAGGAAGAGAGAGAGTGAGAGAGAGAGGAGGAAGAGAATGATAATATCACTCGAATTCAATGCCGTTTGACGATGTGATGGACGGTGATGGAGGTAGAGTTGCACCTACCAATTGAGTTCCCCCTTGTGGCGGAGCAACTTTCTCTTAATTATGTGATTTAAATGGGCGGTGATGGGTCTAATGCATTTTCATTTCTAGGTTCATATAAGGTGCCTTCCTTATACTGTAGAAATAAGGCGCACATCTAAGTTTTACGTAGAGTTAAGATGTTGGGAAATTTATGTTAGTTGGAAAATCTAATTTTTAACTAGGTTTGCTCAATGTATACCGTTTTCAATATTTTAAATTTTGTAACTAGGGAATGAAATTTAAAATATTTAAAATGATACAAACCAACATATTTATAAAAATTAAAAGAACCTTGAAAATAAGTAGTCGAGATAACGTATTACAAAATAAATTATTGTTAGGTTAAATTTTTTTTTTCTTTCATTAATATACGTTTTGGGTCGAGATGATTGGATGGTTTTCCAATCAGACCACACTCTTTTAGCGGATTTATGAGATGGACCCTACTTCAATAGCATAAAATTGGCACCTTATATAAACTTTTCAAATCAATAGGATCATCCGCTCTCTCTTGGCGTATACTATGATTGTTGGACAACATAAAAATATGTGTGATAGAGTAATCACGGCGAATCATTCGACTTGTTGGACGGTAATGGACACAGGGAATCTGCAATTAAATCGATATCATCCTTTAGCAGGTCCCAATCATTTCATGGCCATGCGACTCAAGGATTGTACGGTGATATAATTGGTCACGGTTACGTGGATAAAGTTTTCAAATCGAAAAAATTACTAAAAATCTCCGAAAGTGAACTTTTTACACTTTTTACCCCATCTTAACATTCTTTTTACTCTTATTTTTAAAAAATCAATTTTATTTATTAAAACAATAATTTTAAAAAAATAAAAGGAGTTAAAGATAATTTTACCCTCGTTTTGACGTTAACCTATTTATTCTGTTTTTTTCACGAATCCTGGTTTTTACCCATTCCTATAGTTTCTTCACGCTGACGGTTTCTTCGTCAGGGCTCACAGCTTCTTCCTCAACTTTCTCCTTCACCACCACAGTTTATTCCTCACATCTTCTTCCTATCGGATTTCCCTCTCCATTAACTTCTCACAGTTTTCTCTCTCCACGAATTTCTTTCTTTCTCCATTGGCTTTCTCACACTAATCGAATGTCTCTGTAGGCAAAATAAATAACATATACAGAAATTCCAACTGAATTGGAATTTAAAAGTATTGTAGAGAGAGGAGAGGAGAGAGAGTGTCTCTATGTGTATTAAAGAGATAGAGGGAGATTTTTCACAGTATAGAAGTATTCTAGAGAGAGAAAGAGAGAGAGACATTTTGCATATAGAGGTACTCTAGAGAGAGAGAAAGATGGAGATTTCGCATAATAAAATTATTTTAGAGAGAGAGATTTCACATGGTACAAATGTTTTCTAGAGAGAGAAAAAAAGTTGTTTGGTGAAAGAAAACCAGTATTTATAGCAAACAAAGAATGAAGGAACAAACCAAGAACTTGGAGCATTTTTGGGGGATCCTGCATTTTTGAACGCACTTCGGATATCACAGTCCGGCATTTATGAAATGCGCTATGGCAAAACTAAAACTCACTCTAGCATTTTCTGAAAGCACTCCGGATATTCGTTCATTGTAAAAACTTAGTCTGGCACTTGTAAAAAGGACTCCGGCAATATTTAAAATCACTCCGGCTTTTTTTGAATCCACTCTGGAGATTGATTCATTGTTAATAGGTAGTTCGGAATCTAAAAAACGCGCACTGGCAAAACTAAGAAGCACTTCGGCGTTTTCTGAATGCAATCCGGAGAATGTTCGCTGTTAAATAAGCACTCCGACATCTGCAAAATATACTCCGACAATATTAGAAAGCACTCTAGAGATTAGTTCACTGTAAAAAGCAGTCCGACATCTGTAAAAAGCACTCCGGCAAAACTAAAAGGCACTCCGGCTTTTCTTGAATTCACTCCGGAGATTGATTCACTGTTAATAGCTAGTCCAGAATCTAAAAACGTGCACCAGCAAAACTAATAAGCACTACGGCGATATGTTTCCTGGATACACATGCACTTCAGTCCAGCGTTTTAGATATTCGATCCGGCATATTGTTTTCTCGTAAGCACTCCAGCAAATAATAACTGCGGTCCGGTGTTAATGGAAATTGGAGTCTGTCCACAGGATTTTATCGCACATTCAAGGTACGAGAAGGGGTATTTTTGGTATAAAAAAAAAGACATTTTTCAGTTGGGGGGTTTTAGTAAGAAAAGTTGGTGTTTTTTAAAAATGAGTAAAGAAATATTAAGGTGGGATAGAAGGTCTAAAAAGTTCATTTTGAGGGATTTTTAGTAATATTCCTTTTTCAAAACGATGATTTCCTAGGGGGAAATGTTTCTACGTGACGCCAACATCATTTATGTGACCTCACTTATAAGTCGTTTGATTTAGATCCAACGGCTACGATTGTTCATATGCCAAATACTAGTTTGTTTTTCATTTTTTTCTACAAAATATTTTTTGATGAAAATTTGGGCATCCCATCATAAAATTAGGAGGCGCATCAAAAAAATAAAAAAAATATTTTCTATAAAAATAAATGACTAAAATGCCCTACAACTTTCAGGAGTATTCTGGTATTTTTTTTATCATTGAAAATACTTTTTTATTATTTTTATTATGTTCGCTCCTGTCAGATCTATGCATGTCCCAAATTTTGCTTCAAAATTATTTGTAAAATAAAAAATAAAAAATATGAACCATTTGATCAAGATCTCACAATTAAGAGCAAGCTTCATTGTGACTGAAGCCATAGTCATCTACTCATATATGACGACTGAGACTAGGGCTTGTATGTACAATATATGTGGGTGGGGTCACATAGAAAGCCTTCCCTTTCTTAGGTAAATCGCTTCTAATTTACACAAATAGTAACATTTGAAGTCCTCAAAATTAGCCGCAGTTGATCGGCGGTATGCAAAAATGAGCGTCTTTCTAAATTAAATCGATATCATATGTGAAGCTTGCGGGTCTCAATCTTTTAAGGAAAATTTATCTAAAGGGGTGTGGTTTGCGTAAGGTTGCAATCCTAAACAATCAAATTAAGGTATATCCCTAAACTTTGTCATGAGATGCAATGTTGGTGTCGAAAATTTTAGGATGGTGTGAGAAACTATTTATTATCTCTATTTATAAAAGTTTAAATTCCAAGAAATAGTTCAAATCAAGCAAATCTATAAACGCATTCAGATAATGCATTGCAAGATGCACTATTTTTTAGACTCGAAA